CACCAGGCGGCCCCCCTGGCTCCGCAGCCCCCACTGGCCCCGTCCTTCCCCCCGGCCGTGCTCCGGGCGCCCCTCCCCGCCCTCCCCTGCCTCTTCTCTCCACCCTGTCTCTCATACTCTCTGCTCAGTGCCACTCTCGGAGCCACCCGGGGCCTGGCCCACCCCATCAGCAGCCAGCCCAGCTTCCCGCCCGTCACTGCCACTCCAACTCCAGTAAAAAGTGACGTCCCCCTAGTTCAGGATGCTGCAGGTAACGCACACGTGCCCTCTCACTAGTGTCTGTCGCCCCAGCCAACCCTCGAGGCTGGGGCTCAGGACCGAGCCTTTCTCTGTGGCCGCTGGGCCCAGGACAGGGACACCCCCTGCCCCCCACAGCCCAGCGCCCTCGAGACCAGAGAGCCTAGTCTCTCACCCGAGGTCCGCTCCTCTCAGCTGCTGCTCAGACTGGGCAGGGCACAAGGTCGCCACCAGGATCCCCTGGGATTCACCCCATCTCCGCAACTGGCCAGAGCCCCAAGAGGCTGTGCCTGTCCCCCCCTCCCCAGCTTCCTAGGCCAGAGCCTGCCCCTTCTGGGCCTGGGAGCTCACCTGGTGCCTGGCACAGGGAGGCAGAAGGTGTTCTTGGGAAGGTTGCGGGAGCCTGGGACCCGCTTGGGGTTCTGAGCGTCCCGACACCAGCCTGAACCCTCAACCGTGGAGCCAGGCAGGAAGAGGGGGCATTTGTGCCCAAGCCCCGCGCCGTGCGCAATGGCAGAGCTGCCTCCTGGCCCACCCAGTGTCTGCTGCTCCTCACGGAGGGACCTGCCCTCCCCTGTCCCTTGATGGAGTTGTCACCGGCTCTGCCTCTCCCTCCATTCATTCTCGCCTCACATTCTACCTGAGTGCCAGCCCCCGGTGTACAGCTGAGAGCGGAGCAGGGGTTCCCCATGTGGAATGCAGCCCGTGAAGAGCTCCGTTGCCGGCATAACCAGATGGAGCCCGTGACCTCACCCCCAAAGTTGCCCCTCCGCACCCACCTGGCTCTCCAGGCCCCAGGCCCTCCCTTGTCCTTCCAGGGCCCCCACCTCACTGCAGTCCTTGGTGTCTCTTCACCTGCTAAGGGTGGTGACTGGGTCCCGAATGGACAGTGCCACAGGGTGGTGCCATGGAGGCTGGCATTCCAGGCAGGTTCAGGGGGGTCTGGCAGGCAAGCCATGTGGGAAGAGCCTGGAGGATGTCCACACCACCCTCCCCTCACCCCCCACCCCCGTGGGCGAGGCCTGGGGGCTTCTCTGTTGTTTCTGGGGTGTGGGGCAGGGAGCACAGGTCTGCTGCCCCTTCCCCTGACTGCTCAGCCAAGGGGCTGGTCTCCCCTCCCCCTGCAGTTCTGAGGGTCGCTGTGCCCCCCAGAAACGGGGCACAACCACAGTCGATTGGACAGCCCTGGCAATGGGAGGCAGTTGGGGCCAGGGGCTGGGCACAGATAGGCACCATCCACCACCTCCTGAGGCTGGCTCCAGGTCAGCCATCAGCACTACTGCCTCTCCCAGCTCACTGGGCAGAGAACCCCAGCAAGACCTAAAGAACCTTCTGGTACCGAGGAGGTTCTGTCTGGTGCTCTCCGGGGCACGGACTTACATCCTGAGGGCGCCTGGCATCCCTCTGGCGAGTAGGCGGTCCCACACGCAGACCGGTGGGCCCCAGGGAAACTGGCTAGCAGCAGAGAAGGGGCGCCTGACCCTCGTTAGAGGCCACGCGTGATGGCGTCCTGGCCCCCGTCCAACTTGAGTAATTACGCTCCGAACTAGATTCCCCCTTCAGCTTCAATTAGCGCCAGGACGGCCCTCACTTCCCACCCAAACTGGCCAGGGAGCAGCCACCACATCCCCAGAGCCGCTCGCTCTGCACCGGGGCAGACGCCGGCGGTCGCCCTGCAGACATGATGACGCAGGGGGAAGCCCGGCTCCGGCCTTTGGGGGGGTGGGGGGTAGTGGGAGGGCCCCCCTACACAGCTGGGGGGAGACAAGGAATATCCCTAAATGCTGCCC